GCAATGAAACATTTTTCTTGTATTTTCTGATTAGAGACATTTATAATTTCGAGCACGCCAATCAAATCTCTTCTTGGCCTTGGGGGATGAGAACTTGTGGTGAAGTAGTAGTGTCCCTATCTTCGGGCCAGGTGACCTGGGTTCAAGTCCATCTGCTCCAGAGGTATCTTATAACATATCTAAGCAGGTTGTTTAGGAGAATAGCTATTGGGGTCTGCGAGGCTCCACATTAAGTCCCCAGCTTTTCATGGCATACATCAATGGCTCAGATATAAATTCAAGAGGCAAAATAAAGAAATTTGCAGATAACAAAAAAAAAAAGTGGCCACATAGATGATCACAAGGAAAAAAGGTTATTGAAGATAGCAATGGCCCAGCCAGGTGGGCAGAAAAAAAAATTGAGAACCAGGTACTTTATTTTGAGATAGCAAGGATGGCAAGAGAATGTAAAATGAGCAGAATGATACAGAGAAATGCAGACTGAAGAAAGATCGTAGTAAGCACATTCACAGATGCTTGTAAGTAGCAATAGCAGGTAGATAAGGTAGATAAGGTAGATCAAAGGGACAAAAGGATAGTTACTTCTATTAGCGGAGAGATGAAATATAAGAACACCCCTGTTATGTACGTAGCTGGGTGTATGTTGTCGCTGTAAGAGAGCGGTCAGGTGATCCAGAGACAGGAGCTTGGAGGGGGAGCAGTCTAAAACCAACTGTGGAGCTGAGGTCACACAAGGTATTCCCTGTTCTAGTTTACTTTCTGTCTACCTTGTGTTCTAATTATGGTTCTAGTGAACCACAAACATGATACACCCATGTTAGAACTGATTAAAATGTTAGTTAGGCTACAGCTAGGGATTACTGCGCACAGTCTGAACATCACATTACAAGGAGGATGTTAAAACATGAGCAAGTTTACAGTGATGCTGTCAACTTGGAATTTTAGCTATAAGGAAAGTTTGAATCTATTACAAAATAATGTAACAGCTATACACAGAGAATAACCTGATTAGGCAGAGTTAACATGGAGGCAAACAATGGGTAAAACAGTATGGTAACAGATAAACAATGCTTTGACATTGATGTGTCCAGGAAAAGATCCGGGCATAGATGAAATAAATGAACACTTAAAAGCTTTGGAGAAACAGAATTAGAAGCGATAATAATATCTAGATTACTCCTGGTGTCACAAACTAGTGAGGGTAGGAGTAGGAGGATAGAGCAGATGAATGTGCGGCTGAGGAGCTGGTGCAGGGAAGAAGGATTCATATTTTTGGATCATTAGAATCTCTTCTGGGGTAGAAGTAACCTGTATAAGAAGGACAGATTGCACCCGAATTGGAAGGGGCCTAATGTACTGGTGGAGAATTTTCCTAAAGCCGCTCGGAAGGATTTAAACTGGTGGTGGGTGGGGGAAAATAGATTGGGAGGGGCACCCAGAAAGATAGTGAGGAATGAGATCAGTCTAAGACTAGTGCAGTTGGGAGAAGGAGAAAGCCAAACATTCAGGGCAGACAGGAACAAAGCAAAGAACAAGGTAGGACTGATAAACTGCATTTATTTCAATGCAAGAGACCCAACAGGTAAGGCAGATGAACTCAGGGAACAGTTGGGAATACATGGGACTGGGATATCATACCAAATAATGAGACGTGGCTCAGGGATGGACAGGACTGGTAGCTTAACATTCCTGGGTATAGATGCTATAGGAAGGATAGAAAGGGAGGCAAGAGAGGAGGGCGAGTGGCATTTTTGATTAGGGATAACATCATGGCTGTACTTAGGGAGGATAGTCCTGGGGATATGTCCCAGAAGTTATTTGGGTGGAACCAAGAAATAAGAAAGGGATGATCACCTTATTGGGATTGTACTATAGACACCCCAATAGTCAGCAGGAAATGGAGAAACAAATATGTATGGAGATCTCAGTTATCTGTAAAAACAATAGGCTGGTTATGGTAGGGGATTTTAACTTTCTAAATATAGACTGGGACTGCCATAGTATTAAGAGCTTGGATGCAGAGAAATGTTAAGTGTGTACAAGAAAATTCACTGATTCAGTATGGGGATGTAACTACTAGAAAAGGAGCAAATCTTGACCTCCTTTTGGGAAATAAGGCAAGGCAGGTGACTAAGGTGTCAGTGGGGAAGCACTTTGGGGCCAGTGATCAGAATTCTATTACTTTTAAAATAGTGATGGAAAAGGATAGACTGGATCTAAAAGTTAAAGCTCTAAATTGGAGGAAGGCCAATTTTAACAGTATTAGGCAAGAACTTTCAAAAGTTGATTGAGGGCAGATATTTGTGGGTAAAGGGACAACTGGAAAATGGGAAGCCTTCAAAAATGAGATAACGAGAGTCCAGAAACAGTATGTTCCTGTTGGGGTGAAGGGCAAGGCTACTAGGCGTTGGAAATGCTGGATAACTGGAGAAATTGAGGTTTTGGTCAAGAATAACAAGGAAGCAGAAATCAAGTGAATCCCTAGAAGGCTGTAGGGAAATCAGGAAGGCAAAATGGGGCTAGAGATAGCTTTGGCAAATGGAGTTAAGGAGAATCAAAAGGGATTCTACAAATACATTGAGGACAAAAAGAGTAACTAGGGAGAGAATAGGGCTCCTTAAAGATCAGCCAGACTGCCTACGTGTGGAACCGTATGAGGTGGAGGAGATCTAAATGAGTACTTTGCATCAGTGTGTACAGTGGAGAAGGATATGGAAGCTAGAGAAGGTGGGAAATAAATAGCGACATCTTGAAAAATGTCCATATTACAGAAGTGGTGGTGTTAGGCGTCTTAAAATGCATAAAGGTGGACAAACCCCCAGGACCTGATCAGGTGTATCCAGAACTTTGTGGGAAGCTAGGGAAGTGTTGCTGGACCCCTTGCTGAGATATTTCTATCATCGATAGCCACAGGCGATGTATCAGAAGACTGGAGGTTGGCTAATGTGGTGCCGCTATTTAAGAAAGACGGTAAGGAAAAGCCAGGGACTATAGAACAGTGAGCCTGACATCAGTGGTGGGCAAGTTGTTGGAGGGAAAATCCTGAAGGATAGGATTTACTTGTATTTGGAAAGGCAAGAACTGATTAGGGATACCAACATGGCTTTGTGCATTGGGAATTGTGTCTCACTAACTTGATTGAGTTTTTTGAAGAAGTAATGAGGAGGATTGATGAGGGCAAAGCGGTGGCTGTGATTTAAGGTGTTTGACAAGGTTCCTCATGGTATACTGGTTAGCAAAGTTGGATCACATGGAATATAGGGAGAACTTGCCATTTGGATACAGAACTGACTCAAAGGTAGAAGACGGAGGGTGGTGGTGGAGGGTTGCTATTCAGACTGGAGGCCTGTGACCAGCGGTGTGCCGCAAGGATCGGCACAGGGTTCACTGCTTTTAGTCATTTATATAAACGATTTACATGTGAACATAGCAGGCATAGTTAGTAAATTTGCAGATTACACCAAAATTGGTGGTGTAGTGGTCAGCCAAAAATGTTACATCGGAGTACAACAGGATCTTGATCAGATGGGCCAATAGGCCACAGTGTGGCAGATGGAGTTTAATTTCGATAAACGTGAGGTGCTGCATTTTGGAAAGGCAAATCAGGGCAGGGCTTTTACGCTGAATGGTAAGGTCCTGGAGAGTGTTGCTGAACAAAGAGACCTTAGAGTGCAGGTTCATAATTCCTTAAAAGTGGAGTCACAGGTAGACAGACAGCATTTGGTATGCGTGCCTTTATTGGTCAGTGCCATTGAGTATAGGAATTGGGAGGTCATGTTGCAAATATACAGGACATTGGTTAGGCCACTTTTGGAATACTGTGCGCAATTCTGGTCTCCCTGCCAGAGGAAGGATGTTGTGAAACTTGAAAGGGTTCAGAAAAGTTTCACAAGGATGTTGCCAGGATTGGAGGGTTTGAGCTGTAGGGAGAGGCTGAATAGGCTGGTGCTATTTTCCCTGAAGTGTCAGAGGCTAGGGGGTGACCTTATTAAGGTTTATAAAATCATGGAGGGCATGGATAGGGTAAATAGACTAGGTCTTTTCGCCAGGGTTGGGAAATCTCAAAACCCAACAGGAAAAAAAAAATTAAAGAAGAGACTGAAGAAGGGTCCAGTGACTCAAAACGTTGATTCTGCTTTCTCCACAGATGCTGGCAGACCTGCTGTGTTTCTCCAGCTATTTCAGTTTTTACTCTCAAAACTTGACTTGTGCTTGAAGTCATTTTCACTAATGGCAATAAATACATTAACTTTTGACTTAATATTTAAACGAAATGCTTTTGCTACATCTAAGCATACCATCAGCCACAGCAGAAACAGCTGACTCACATTAGCACAATATGAAATCGAGGGCATTTCATTCAGAATCCGGGAAACCAAAATGATTTTTGTCATTTATATTTCTAGCTCAGAATTCCTTACCCCACAGGGAACAGTGGAGCACTAAAGACTTACTTCAGTATAAAACAGCTTACCTAGAATTGATCTATACTTTAGGAAATTAGACTTCTTTTATTATCACTCTCTCTACTTCATTAAAGCCAAAACATTCAACATGCCTAAAATTTCAGTTGCAATCCAAGCAGTAAAAAGGAAATATAATTCTGGCCATGGTTAAGTTGTAGTTTCAATTATTCGCTAGTACCTGTTTGTCACTGGGACTGATACCATACAGCTCCGTAAACCAAAAGCCCCTACTTCAACAGTTTTCCATCATAATTTTTGCTCATTTGGTAACTGTTGGATTTTTCATGCAAGAACATTTGTGCAAGAACTAAGATCTTAAAATAAATCTTTCCATAGGTTATTGTTACTTTCAAAAGTATATCGTCATGTATACCGCAAAATATAACTCAGTGGGTAGCACCCTTGTCAGAGTCAATACTGAGTGTTCAAATCTTGCTCCGAAAACTTAAGCACAAACAGTATATATAACCACTAATTTCATCTTAAAATCAAACAAAATGTTTACTTTTTGACAAAAACGTACACAAACCTTACCTCCTCCTTTTTCTCTTCCACTCCAGAAACTGCTGTATTCAGACTAAGCTGTGAGTGACTGCTTACCCCGCTGTCTTCATTACCATCATCAAAATAAACTGTTTGTACCGGATCCTGAAATGATACTGGATATTTTCCAGCTTTTGAGACAGTTCCTTCAGTTCGTCCATCACTGTCCATAGAAGTAAGTGATAAAGTACTGTGTTGATTTGGACAATTGAATGCAATATTGTGTTTAGTTTTTTCAATGCTAGGACTCTGAGGTTTAGGAGCAGTCGGTCTGACTGGAATAGCAGGCTGCTCAGTTTCTGTAAACTGACTGGTCTGTTTGGATTCATTTGAATCATCAAAGAATACTTCATTAGCAAAGGGGTTAACAGGACAGAAGGTAGATTGACTATTTGAGTTTAGTACAGCCAGATTCAAATTTTGGGAAGACCTACTGGTTTTAAAGTCTGGCGAGGATAATGATTTTTCCAACTGTGTAACAGCAGTCTGAGTGACTGAGGGGGTGAATAAATGAGAGGATTCAGGAAAGGCAGAGGGTTGGTTCCAGTTAGGGGAAGCAAATCCATGTCTTTCACTGTCAACACTCCGAGAAACTCTTCGAGAATAATCATCATGAAGCCTGCTATTAGCTCGAGCTCCATTTCTACTTTCACGTGAAGATGAATTTTCCTTTGATGGACTCTCTCGCCTCCTTGCAACATCTGCAACATTACTCACTAGTCTTAGCATTCTGTCAAAATCTTTAGCTCTGATTGGGCTCCTCCAGCGTTTTGACCGTCTTTCTGTGTTGCCAGATTTTTCATCTGCTGATGAAGCACTTGCTGTGCGTTGTAGTCTTTCATTTTCATTGGTGGCTTTTACCTCTATGAGGTTAGAGGTCGATTTCCTTTTAAATGAACTTTTCTTGAAAAAGCTTAAATTGTCTGTGCTTTTGCTTCTCCTGTTGATAGCTTTGTGATTTCCACAGTTTGTTACCATTGAATCACTAATGTTTGATTCTTGGGCCTCAAGGAACACAACTTTGGTAGAGCCCTCTTGGATTGGGGATTTATCACAGTCCAATAAATTTATCCGTCCAACCCTATAAGCACGTCTAATGCTCCGTGACCTGTGGGTATGGCGTAAAAAAGCTTCATCAACATCTTCAGTTTCCGAAGCATCCGAAGCCAAGTCCTCCCCAGAACTACACAAATCTTGCAATGTGGCTGTGCAAGAAGATCTGTTCTGCATTTGCACACCATGGCCATTTTGCACATGTTTGTGTGCATTTTCAAAATTTTCAACATTTATGACCTCAGCATTTCCTCTGGTTTGAATTCCTTGAAAAACTGAGGACTTGAGTTTTTTGAAAGAGCCCATTTTCCTGAAAGATGATAAGGCATTCCAAGTGGGAGAATTTCCCAGCAATATCACAGAATGTGGTCTACTATCTGAGTTACAACTTGTGTACTTGCTAGGATTTGAAATAAAATGCATGATTTTTGAAGGAGTCAATTTATTCTCTCCCATTTCCTGTCTCTTGTTGCCACTATGGTCACAAAAGCCATTATCTACCTTTGGATGAGATGAATTCTGGAACATCCTGGAATCTGTATTATCTACAGATAAGATATTTGCACTTGTGCATCCATTATGGAGAGATTTCATGTTGCCATTATTACAGATGTTGGAAAGATCTAGGCTACCAATCAGCTGGATGTTGTCATTCACTGGCCCCACCTCAGCTTCACTTCCTTCCTTCACCTCTACATATATCTTGAGAGAAGTTAGCACTTCACTGGACTGGAGTGCCTGATGGAAAAAATAGAGATTGCATTTAACAAACCTGGTAAAAGTAGTACTTCTTTGAATATAGCTGGAAACTGTAAACATAACAAAACTGAACATTAAACAGCCAAGTGACGGGCATGATCCCACCATGTTCTGAACACTTCGACACATTCATCAAGTTTGAAAAAAGTCCTTGAAGGAAAACAATTAACTTTTATTTCCCTTCTTCCATTTCCTTTATTCATTTCATCTCTCCTGAATTCCACCCTTTCGCAGGTCTATGTATTCTTCCCCACTTCGGTTCTTACTCAAAACTGTTCGATCTATAACATTTTCTAGTCCTATGGAAGTACATTAACCTGATATGTAAACTGTCTCTCTCTGCACATGTTGCCTGACCTACAGTTAATATGTAAATAATACATCACACAATTACATCTGACACATAGATACGGTATGGCCCAAAAGAAGTACTGATTAGCTTTTGGCAAAAATGTGGATTCTGATCCTGGATTTTATTTTAAAAAAATCCATCTCTTAACTTTGGGGATTGGACAAAATTGACTTTTTCCTTTTGGCGTGGAATGAATTGTACAAGCTGATGTGGTACAATTTGAGAGAGTTGTCAAAATTTGACCAGACTGTGCAGAGAAGGCTTTTGGATGGGAATTGGCTTGAAACTCAGTGGTTACAGGACATCAACAAGGCAAGGAAAACTTTCAATGAAGAACTATGTAATTCTATTAACCTTGAATTAACACAACTTGGTGGAAGTGGGTATTCCACTGAGTGCTCACTTCCTTTATTTAACCAAAGAGATGCTCAAATTCCACACTTCTCCAGGGTAGCTACGTCATTATGGTCAGGATGCATACATGGAGCAGTTAATTGCAACATGATGTCATTACAAAGACAACTGAATTGCTCATGCATGATACATGGTGCTCTTACAACAAAATATTTACCAGCCTTAGTGAGACCACTAACAACCAGGAAAACACAATGAAAAGTAAGTATTTTTCTACAGTGTAGGAAAAACTTGAGATTTATGCTGATGTGGTTTCTGCCAATACCCAGTCTTAAATGCCATTTGAATAATCAACTGATGAGTAGAAGGCCAAATCACTCAAAAATTTAATGCAATTACAACAAAATGTTATCAGAGTTCCAGCAAATGTTACTGTTTGATACAGATCAGGCAACATTGTCCAAAATGCTGCAGGCAAAATCTGCTTAAAGAAAAAAATCTGATACAGATAAACTATTTGTCTGAATATTAAATTTTCAATTATGGAGCCAGGAGTGGTAAGCTTGACTTTGGGGACATTTGCAGAAGAATTGAGTCTTCAAGGATTTGGCTATTATAATATTGCAAGTTAAAAAATCCTTTGAGCAGTGGCTGGCAATACTCCAAGGTGAATGAAGAATCAAGCATTAACTTCCATCTATTATGAAAGCACAAATGCCATGTTAACAAATTCCTTTGCCTGTTTGAATTGAATTTAGAGAGGCTGCATTATCTTAATATGTATTGGGATGTTAAACATTCATGCATAATATCAGTCAAGTTTGACAAGCCTGTTTGAAAGACTGAGAACATATTTTATGAAAGGAAAATCAGGGTGGTCTGACCAGAGCATTATATCATTTGAGATAAAGCAAGGCTGCCTCGTTCAATATAAAATTATGAACTTAACTGTTGTTAAAAGAATAATACAAATTTAACCTCCGCCTTGCATTAAATCATTAATTAAATGGAGAAGTTTAACATAATTTTAAAAAAAAGCAATTGCCAGCTTTAAACTTAGTGGCCCCATTTTTATCAGTTATTAACCCATTCTAGAATTACACAAACACATGCATAAATTCTTTAACCTTAAATTTTCAAATGTTTTAATTTATGTGTATATCAGGAAAATAAGAGGTCAATCACACCCAAAGTTACAAACAATTCCTACTTCATATACTTTATTCATTTCACAGATGAAAAATGAAATGAATAACAGGAGCTACAAATTTGATAACTAGTTGATAATACAAATAGATGAATTACATGAATAGACCATACACCAGTTGACTTTTATTTTTAAAAAAAAATCTTAAGTGAATGAAGTGTGGAATTGTGGTTGGACAATGAGAGACAACAAGGTGCAGAGCTGGATGAACACAGCAGGCCAAGCAGCATCACAGGAGCAGGAAGGCTGACATGACAGTTCCTCTGAACTGTAGTAAAAATAAGAACATACCATTGCAATTAGTGGCCAGAAGCATAGCAATCTAATAAACAGTTCTCAGGTTCTACAATTGTGTTTGATATTTAAATAGAAATCTATGACTTTTGAATTTAAGCGATGGTGCAACTGACCATTGTCAATATTAATGAAACCACTTACACAAATTATACCACCCTCACTTTTTAAAAAATATTTTCCATGATTACTTTCTTGAAAAAGTAATTTTATCTAAGTGCAGTTAGGGTACAATGCTTATCTTACCCTGGGTCACAATATCTAGAAAAGTGAACAGGTACTACTGAAGGAACAATCAAAGTTGAAATATTTTAGTCAACTTTCCAAATGTGTTGACTTAATTTTGAAAGGATAATGCTGACAGGAACTTGTTCTACTTACAATGACCATTGCAGGTTTAGGACATTTTCAAGCTGTCACTAGTTGCACACATTAGTATTGAGATACTACATCCATAAGAAATAGGAAGTGTAGGCTGTTCAGCCCCTTGAGCACTCTCCACCATTCATTAGCATAACGACTGATCCAACAATCCTCACCTTATGTCACTTTATTCTGAGACTAAGCCTCTGAACCTCGACTCTCCCATGAGAGGAAACATCCTCTCAGCGTTTACCCTGTCAAGTCCCTTAAGAATTCTATATGTTTCAATTAGGTCACCTTTCATTCTTCCAAACTCAAATGAGTTCCAACCTGTTTAACCTTTACTCATAAGTCAATCCTTCCATACCAACAATTAGCTTAATAGACCTTTGCTGAACACCTGCAATGAAATAATATATTTTCTTAAATAAGTGGACCTAAACTGCTTACAATACTCCAGATGTGGTCTCACCAGCGCCTTGTAGCATTGCAACAAGATGTCCCTACTCTTATACTCCAATACTCTTGAAATAAGGGCCAACATTCCATTAGCCTTCCTGATTACCTGCTGTACCCATGGGCTAACTTTGCGTTTCATGCAGAAGTAGCCCCAAGTCCCTGTGTTGCAGTTTTCTGCAGTTTTTTCTCCATGTAATGAATACCATTCTTTTGTTCGCCCTTCAAAAATTAATTCCTTCACATTTTTCCACATTATAATCCATTTGGCAACATTTTGCCCACTTACTTAACCTATCACTATCTCTCTGTAAACTGTTCGCCTCCCTCTTGCAACCTGCCTTTGCAGCTATTTTGTGTTGTCTGCATAGTTGGATACTGTACATTCAAATCCTTCCTCCAAGTCATTAATATTATTGTTGTAGACCCAGCACTGATTCCTGTGGAACACCACCGGTTATAGGTCGCCAACCTGAAAAAGTACCCCTTATCGCCACTCGCGTTTCCTGCCTAATAGCCAATTCTCTATGCTAGTATACTACCTAGAACAACCCTATGCTCTTATCTTAAGGCTTAATCTTTTGTGAGGTACCTTATTGAATGTCTTCTGGAACCTAGCTATATCCCTGAAAAAAAAATCAATTTGCATTTAAAAACATCTGCAAGAAAAGACATCTTACCTGACTGATATGAGAGAGACTACATAGAAGTGTATATACATACACACGTTTCTAATAATTGCTCCTTTGTACAGGAAAGCAGATCAAATCACAAACCAGTTGGGCCAGACTCGGACAACACAATTGTTCACAGAGGTCTTCAGGACTTAACCGAAAATTTACTAGTTCTTTGGAAAGAAAAACAAATCCTGAACAGTAAAATGTAAACTGCGAAACACAGAGGAGATCCAGTAGCAAGCAGCCAGAAAGCAGAGTGGCTGTAGTCAGAGGACTACCATTGATGAGCTGCTTGTTTGTTTGGTGGATTGCATCTCTAGAGAATAGAGAGAGAGAGAGAGAGCGCGCACAAGCGAGCAAAGTCACAGCTGTATGACCCTTGCGGCTAGTTTCCGCCTTTAATCCACTGTGTAAAGTTGCCATTAGAAAGAGCCCCACAATAAATCCTCCTCAATGAGGCCGAGAGGAAAAAAAAAGGAAAAAGGACATTGCAAGGGCATTCAGCTTATTGACCCATGAATGAACGAACTAGAGGATTGTTAATTTTGAAAGGGGATGAGAAAAAAACCCTTGCACAATTCTTCACTTACTTCTTAGTATTGATAAAGGAGTTGAACTGTTAACAAGCTAGAAGAGTTTTAAGCAGAAAATAAATTAGGAACTTTAACTTTCATTACCCCCTGTCTGACTGTGGCCTTGTATTCCCAAAAGTCTGGCAACGAAATCCAGCATGAATGCCTTCTATATACTGCAATATTTTGTAGCAATTTGGTAATCTACCCGCCTTCTGAAAACTGGAACTCTATTTAAAATTATTAGAATTTGGGAAAAGTTCCATTCAAAGGAACCATGAAAAGCAATGCTGTTATGTTCACAGCACAAATTTCCACTGACAAATCTTATTTGTTTGGAGCAGCACACCCTCTGTATCAGGCTCTATTTTACACTTCAGTTCAAGTCAATTGCTCAATTTTTCTTTTTGATTGAATTATCTTCTAAGTACAAGTTCTCCTTGAGGTGCTCTCAGCACATTATGCTAGAAACTTACAATGATGAATTTACAGCCTCGTCCCCATTGCCAAAACCATTATAAAGCTCTGTTCCTCCACTATCAACAATTTCAATTTTTCTTTTATTTCAAACTACCAGTCTCGGACAAGTACTAGTGAAATCATGATTTGTAAGTTGGCACAAAGCCTACATGATCTCACTCAAGATAGCAACCATTACGCATTGTAAAAGACTGTATCAATGGATCCCCTGTATTCAATTATAG